TTGAGACCAACAAGTACTACTGTACCGTCATTGATGCCCCCGGACATCGTGACTTTATCAAGAACATGATTACTGGTACCTCCCAGGCTGATTGTGCTATCCTCATTATTGATTCCACCACTGGAGGTTTTGAGGCTGGTATCTCCAAGGATGGTCAGACCCGTGAGCACGCTCTTCTTGCCTTCACCCTTGGTGTCAAACAAATGATCTGTTGTTGTAACAAGGTATAAGTTACCACTGTTTCATTGATATGCAGTTTATTGAGTCCTATACTCCTATGATTTAGTTTGTTTTAGTTTTCAGTGTTTGCACTATTCTGATCATGCCTTGTTTTCTATATAGATGGATGCCACCACCCCCAAGTACTCAAAGGGTAGGTACGAAGAAATTGTCAAGGAAGTCTCCTCATACCTCAAGAAGGTTGGTTACAACCCAGACAAAATCCCATTCGTTCCCATCTCCGGGTTTGAGGGTGACAACATGATTGAGAGGTCCACCAACCTTGACTGGTACAAGGGACCAACCCTTCTTGAGGCTCTTGACTTGATCAACGAGCCAAAGAGGCCCTCAGACAAGCCCCTCCGTCTCCCACTTCAGGATGTGTACAAGATTGGAGGTATTGGAACGGTGCCCGTGGGACGTGTTGAGACTGGTGTGTTGAAGCCTGGTATGCTTGTTACCTTCGGTCCCACTGGACTGACCACTGAAGTTAAGTCAGTTGAGATGCACCACGAGTCTCTTCCAGAGGCTCTCCCTGGTGACAATGTTGGGTTCAATGTTAAGAATGTTGCTGTCAAGGATCTCAAGCGTGGTTTCGTTGCTTCTGACTCCAAGAATGACCCTGCTAAGGAGGCAGCCAACTTCACTGCCCAGGTCATCATCATGAACCACCCTGGACAGATTGGAAACGGTTATGCTCCAGTGTTGGATTGCCACACTTCTCACATTGCTGTTAAGTTTGCTGAGCTTGTTACCAAGATTGACAGGCGTTCAGGTAAGGAGATTGAGAAGGAGCCTAAGTTCTTGAAGAACGGTGATGCTGGTATGGTTAAGATGATTCCCACCAAGCCTATGGTGGTGGAGACTTTCGCAGAGTACCCACCCCTTGGTCGTTTTGCTGTGAGGGACATGAGGCAGACTGTTGCTGTCGGTGTCATCAAGAATGTTGAGAAGAAGGACCCAACCGGTGCCAAGGTTACCAAGGCTGCCCTAAAGAAGAAATAGGATGTTTTGTCAAGTCGTAATTTTAAAGTTTTGTTTAGGCTCTTGAAGGTTTTCTGTGTACTGTTTTATGTCATTTAGATTCTTGAGTTCTCAATTTTATAAGCTGCCCAGAATTTTTGTGTTTGTGTTCCTGTGTCGCCTACCATAGTCTCAACATTAATTCTACTGTTATTGAAAGTCCGATTTGAATCAAGGTTCCAAACTTCCAAAGCAACTAAAAAAGTGCTGCATAAGTGCATACAACTGAAAGTGCTTCAGCTCAGAACTTAACTTAAGAAAAAATAAGTCAAATTTAACAAAATTTAAATGCTAAAACTTCATGTTGATATTGTGGCGGGTGTGTAAGATAAAAGTGTAAGCTTGAGAATTGATAAGGATGAGGTTAGGGGTTTAATTTCTGGTAGGAACACTTTGAGGGTAAAGATTTTCCTTTCCCCATACTCTGAAATTGCATAGCTTTAATCTTGATTGGGTTGACGTATGAGAGGTTTCTATCTAAATCATTTCATCCTACCGACCGAATAGAAAAAATTATAATTTAACTTTTTTTTTTTTTTTGACAGCTAGTCAGTTACTTCTATCCCCCATTCCTGGCCCGGGCTGCCAGATCATGAGCTCTAGAGGTAACCCTTCTTGGCACGTAACAACAATAAAAGTAGGTGAGACTAGAACATAGGCAAAGGATATCCAAGACCAGATTTCGTAACTCCTTCGGTGCATGATTAAGTCTGATATCCGTTCTTATCTCCAGTTGACTGAATTGTTGCATGGCGTTGGAGATGCCTTCTTTATTTTAACTTAGTGCAATTGCTTTCGCTTTTTTTTTAAAAATTTTTTTTTATTTTTTTTTAAAGTACAATTACTTCCAACTTTAGATATATGCATGTGATGTTTAAAAATTAGTAGGAGAACAAAATTTTTCTCCTCTCTCCAACTTGTCAAAAACAAAAAAGAAAAACTTGTCAACGAAATTCTGTTTACAAGTATTTTAAAGGATGATTTACAAAAAGATGGTTACTTTAAGGTGTCGTTTGGTTCACAAGGAAATTAGAATTTTCCATGAATTGCAAATATATGGGAAATTCCAATTAGTGGTTTGTACACCTAGATGTACCATGTGCATGGTACACCCAGATTAAAGTGGAAAGAACATAACAAATAATTATAAAGTACATCATGAATTTATAAAAGAATATATCACTGAAATATAAAGAACACAGTATATTATGAGATACTTATTATCAAAAAGGTAAAAAATAATTATGAATTGAGTTTTATTAATAATTTAATGTCAAATCATTTCAAAATATTACATTTGAATTAGAAAATATTCATATATAAAAAATTTCTCTATCTAAAATTAATTTTACACAAATATAATTCAAAATTTCTTTCTTAATTTTTAAAAAATATTAAAATTCAAAATATAAGAACATATTAAATAAGTAAAAAGAACATAATTTGTATTATTATACCTAAAGAACATAATTTGTATTATTATAACCAAAGAACATGATTAATATATATTGCCTCAAAGAACATTGTTTGTATTGTAAAGAACATATAGTTTAGACTTAAAGAACATATTGATCAGACTTAAAACATATTTCATTGCAATTAAAAAAATGATAAAAGAACATTGATCAAAATAGGAAGAACATCATCTTCAACCTAAGAAAATAACACCAAAACATAAAAATAGATACCTTTTATCTCAACAACGAATTTGTCAATTACATCGATCTTTCAATAAATGATTCACCAAAACGATAAATCAACTCCGAAATAACATTAAATCACTTTGAAATTCAAAATTTAACATATTTTCTCTCTCTCTCTCTCTCTCTTTTTGTTTTTTGTTTTTTTTTTTTTTTTTGAGGGAACCATAGTTTCTCTCTCTATAAACCCAATTTCTTTCTCTTAACAAAAAAAATGAATTTTTTTTTATCAAAAGTAATATGGAATGTATATAATGAATAAGGAATAAAAATGTTTTGATTTTTTTTTTCTCGTATACTCTGTATTTGTATACAATGTTCTTTCTGCGTTTTTATAACTCATGCATTTTGACCGGGTGTACCATGTTGTATGATGAAATTTTCAACCTAGGGGGGGGGGTTAGGTAAGTGAATTCCTACATTTTGTGGGAACTCTAAATTCCTAGGAAGTTCCACTTCCCCCATATCATCAAATTTTTGCCAACCAAACAACAACAAAATTTGCAATTCATAGGAAGTTTCAATTCCAATGTTTTATTATGTCAACCAAACAAGCCCTAAAACTTATTTACACTTTTGCGTCGGAATGAAACTTATCTACGGAACTACTGTCCACGTAGGCTCAGATAAGTTTATTTTTGTTTTTTATTTTTTAGAGTAAAACCGCTAAGTACCTAAAACCGCTACTTGAGGTAGCTGTTTTACCCTTCATCAATTGTTACTCCGTATCTTTATTTAGAGTACTAAACACAAAGCACTACTTAAGGATTCGTTTGACATCGTTGTGGTTTTCTGTTTTTTGGTTTTCAAACTCATATGATATATGTCATATAATTAAACAAAAATTAGACAAACTCATTAAAATCATGATAATATTGAAAACTGACAGCTGAAAAGTGGAAACATTTTTTTCTTGTTTCCTTTTTTGGTTTTTTGTTTTTTTAAAAAAAAAACAAAAAATTGAAAAAAAAAAATGCCAAACAAACCCTAAGGTAGCGGTTTTAGGTAGCGGTTTGTCTCTTAAGAAAAAATTACCCCTAAATGTATTACCGAGCCTACGTGGACTGTATTTTCATAATTAAGTTTCACTCCAACGCAAAACCGTAAATAAGTTTTTTAAAAGCTATATTTTTGTAAATTTTTCTGTAAATCAAAGTGTTAATTTATTTTATCTTTTTATTCTACTCTGTACTGAATATAATTTGAAAATTGTTTTTAGATTTCAAAAACTTACTATAAAAAGAAAAAAAATCTTACTCTGTATTATATTTTTTTTTTTTGAGGGAAATTACTCTGTATTATATACTGCAAATAATAAATGATGCAAAATTTGCATTGAACACTAGAAATACTACAATAACATCTAAAAAAATGGATGGAGCGATAAAGAAAAGAAATTGAGAGAGATATTTAATTTACAACTTGAAAGAGAGATCCTACTGTTTGGTCAAGTGGTTCATTTATGCTGTATACCCTACTTCCATTTATGAGTTTAATTAGTTTATGGATCAGATCTACTTTCTTTTTTTCTTTATTGATATGATATGAAATTACATAATAGTATAGGTTATTATCACATAAAATCAAATGTTGCTCGTCACATTTTTTCCCCTCACTTTTTCTAATGTGAAGTTGGATATGCAAGCTGCAAAAACAGAAGATTTACAAATGAGTATTTGACACTCCATTTGTTAGATTATGTTATGCAAGAACTAATGTAGCACCAAATTTGTTCATGTATTTTTATTATTATTTTTTTATTTATTTATTTTTTTTTTTTTTTTTGGAAAAATGAAATGAAAGCTTTTAGTATATACGAAGTAGTATACTATAAGCATATAATGTACTTAGCAATACTAATAAGAATATAGTATACGAGGCTAAGATTACAATTGGGAAATTTGATTATAATTTTCATTAAATTGTGTTAATCTTTTTGCTTTAATACCCAACATAACTTTTGCAAAAGAATATAATGTAATTCAACAAATTGAAACCCACATGCCGAGTCCAAAATATGATGTTGAAAAGAAACTAAAATGTGGGTTTGTAACATATCTAGCGTCTTCCTCCACCACCTACACCAACACCAGTGCCTACTCCTTTGCCAGCACCGGCGCCAACTCCAATTCCTACACCAATGCCAACACCGATGCCAACTCCTCCTCCGCCACCAAGTCCATGACCACCACCTAAGCCGGCACCACTTCCAAGTCCTCCACCCGCACCACTTCCAACTCCTCCACCAGCACCAAAGCCACCACCTTGACCCGCACCTCCACCAAGACCACCGCCTCCACCACCACCTCCTCCTCCTCCACCCCCACCTCCTGCCCCAGCTGCTCCACCTCCTACACCACCTCCAGCACCAAATCCACCTCCATGGCCCGAACCACCACCTAAACCTCCACCACCTCCTCCTCCAGCTCCACCGCCACCACCAAGACCTCCTCCGGCACCGCCTCCAACACCCCCACCGGCTCCAAATCCTCCACCTTTACCTGACCCACCGCCAAGTCCACCACCACCTCCTCCACCTCCTCCACCACCACCTCCAGCTCCACCTCCAAGACCTCCTCCGGCACCACCTCCAACACCCCCACCAGCTCCAAATCCTCCACCTTGACCCGAACCACCGCCAAGTCCACCACCTCCTCCTCCACCTGCACCACCACCACCTCCAGCTCCACCACCTAGACCTCCTCCAGCACCACCTCCTACTCCTCCACCTGCTCCAAATCCTCCTCCATGACCCGCACCACCGCCAAGTCCACCTCCCCCTCCTCCACCAGCACCACCACCTCCACCAACACCTCCTCCGGCACCACCTCCTAGTCCCCCACCTGCACCACCTCCGAATCCTCCACCTGAACCACCTCCGACTCCACCTCCTCCGCCTGCCCCACCTCCACCGCCTGCACCACCTCCAAGGCCACCTCCAGTACCACCCCCTACTCCTCCTCCGGCACCACCACCTAGACCTCCACCGGAACCTCCTCCTAGACCACCTCCGCCACCTAATCCTCCTCCACCTAAACCTCCTCCAGCTCCACCACCAAAGCCTCCACCAGCACCACCACCACCGCCAAGACCACCTCCACCGCCACCACCTAGACCTCCACCACCACCACCACCTAGACCACCTCCTCCGCCAAGACCGCCACCTCTACCGGGACCACCAAAACGTGGGTCGTCCCTCGGCCCACCAAAATGCCCTGGACCATGAAATCTTCCACCTCTTGGTCCACCCCACCTCCCACGGCTGCCAAATGGCCCACCTCTTGGACCACGACACCTAAAACCACAATCTTCATCATCAAATCTTTCGGTCTTTAGCTTACCATCTCCAAATGTCACTACACTCAAACTAAGCACAATGCTAACTAGTAAAAACGTTACAACAGGCCATTTTGTAGGAAAACCCATTGACTTTAATTAAAATACAACACTTTTCGTGGAAAATTATGTGTAAAAATGTGAGCCCCTTTATTTAAGCTCAGATTTTTATATTTTTATCATAAGAGTGAAGAAAGTGAGTTATATATAAGGTGTAACAATTGGCTAAAATACTGTATTAGGGATATTAATTGCTATTGGTGAGGTACGCGTAGAACCGTTGGGATTATTGTAGGAACAATAAATGACACATAAAACTAATTTAATTAAGTCAAAATCTAGGAACTGGATGATATATATTGATATTGGTTCCTTATTTGTTTAGTCAACTTCACCGTTGACCTATAATTGGATAAGTACACTGTAACGATCTCTTTGTGTAGGGCATGTTTTCATTTGTACGGCTGTCAAGATGTATATTTGATCATTAATATTTTTAATTTTGCATCAACAAAATTATTAAAAATATTGATATTTCAACACTCTAGCTAAATTAAAATGAGTCGTATAACAATAGATCATCACGTGGCATTTATATTAAAATATTGAGGAAAATTTTAAGCATTATATTATGGGACAGAGAAAGTACATATTTTGTCCTCCTTATCGTTTAAGATTGTGTATGAAGTTTTCTTCACTTTTATTTATTCACTAGGTTAGATCCCGTGCCATGCACGGTAATTTCAATATTTATCATTAGTTTAATACAATTATTTTACTATAAAAAATAAAATTTAATTGCAAAAATAGGATGAAAGTTTAATTACAATTTTTTTTTGAATCTTTAAAGAAAACAGAGGAAGAAATGCATGCAAAACTAATAAAAATAACTATGGATTACATTACAAAGTTATAGATAATATTACATTATTGTATTACATGACTTTGTTCCCGTCATAAAATATATAAATCTTTGTTGAATGTGTACAAATGAATATACTTGCCAAATAGAAAAGAAATATTATTGTAAAGTAAGTATTAAATTAAATACTTCTCTAAGAAGCTTTGGCAAAAAAAAAAAAAAAAAAAAAAAAAAAAAAAAAAAAAAGCCTTTTGGAGGGAAAATTTTTAACCAGGTTATGACAAGTGTCATTTCTGGTTTCGCATTTAGTATAGGTATATTGATTTTATTTTCCTAATTAAGAAGTAATCATGTATACTTTTTTGACGAGAAGTAATCATGGATCATATATACTAACTTACATTACTTAGCTTAATTTATATCTACTTCACGAGCCGGAAGTGTATTACCAAACCTTAATTCATTATTTCATTGTTTGACAAAAAATTGGGTGTAAAATTTCTATGTAATGAGGGTGGTAGATGGACGATAAATGCCACATGAAAATAGGTTTGAATATGTCAGAGGAAAGATTGTCATTAAATATCTTGTCCAAAAATTAGGTTAAAATGAAGTGCCACTACTTTCTTTGCTATAATTGAATGTCATTCAATTACTCATGGAAGGTACTTGTCTAAGGGAAATATATAGAAAAATGATGCTACATAATAATACCTCTATTTTGAATTAAGTTGATGAGATTTTCTTAACAACTTTTGTACCATAAACCATACTAAAATGTCTTCGAATGCATGCCGACCGACTGGGGTATAGACTACGAATGTACGCAGACAGGCTGGGGTATACACCATAAGATGAACATGTCCAATAATGCCTTAGTAATTTAGTATCATGCAACTTGGGAAAAAATGTGTAAAGGCACAAATAGTAGTAATGTAAATGAAATTTGATCATAATTGATGGGTAGCATCTTTTGCGATTTTATATAACTAATCTAGTTAACATTACCATCTTAGAACATTGTTCATTAGAAATATTGGTTTTTGGCATGTTCTATCCTAGTTAGGCTAACTAGCTAGCTTGTTTCAAGAACATAAATAATCTTTAAGTCACAAAGAGGGGTATTTTAGGGATAACCTGAGTAGTTGAAAGTTATCTTCTTCAAGATGTTAGTTAGCCTACAGAAGAGAAAGAGTAAGTTGCCCCTAGGGTTTGATATGATCCTGGGAACACCCCGCTCAATCAGAAATGTACTTTCTAGAGTGAATAAGTAGAGAGAGAAAAAAATTGCTTATATTAATCACATGTCAAGTATTTAAAAGCGTAATTAGATGTGCCAAATTTGTACTTCTTGAATTGATTTGGGGTAAATCAGTAGTTGTGTAAATATAGGCTGATTTAGCGATAATGGGCTTGATTATAATAAGCTTGATCCTTAAAAAACAAGCTTAGCTGCTTAGGTCTATGCTAGTCATTAATATTATACTAGGTTAGAACTCGTGTCATACACGGTTTTTCAATCTCTGTCACGGAATATTAATTTTAAATCTTTTTTTTTTAATCTCAAACAAGCTACTTAAAATATACTTCATCTGTCCCTTTTTTACATTCATGCTTTCCTTTTTTGGGTATTCCAAAATTACATTCCTCTTTTCCTTTTTTAGTAATAGTATTTTTTTTTTTCTAAATATCCCAAATTATCCCTCTTTTTCTGTTTTGTAATTAATGTTCACTCTTATTTTCTCACTCTTACTTTCCTATTCTCACTCTTAAATTTAGATGAATATTATTGGTTCTTAATTTTCCAATAGGAGCATGCTATTGCTCCTTTTTTTTTTTTTTTATTATTATATGGCATCATTAAATATTAATCTATCTTTGTTTTACTCAAAGACATCATTTAATGTTTTGTACTTCCCATTGTGTTTTGTTTTATTGTTATTTGTTTTATTCTTAGTTCCTTAATTCCGTGTAATTTTTACAAACAGGAATGTAAAAAAAGGACGGAGGGAGTATATTTTTTTTATCTTATTTGAATACATATTATATAGCTTTCTTCTATTTTGAACTTTGATGGCATTTTCTTTTCTTCAAATATGATAATTTTTCATTCACCAACTATGTTAAGTAAAAATATATATTCATCATTTTATTTTTTTACTAAAAATAGTCATTATATATTAAAAAGTAATTACTAATATATGAATTTATTTATACAAAGATATGATAGATATTTAAGTTTATAAAGTTTTTTTTTTTAAAATATATTAAGGACACACCAGAAGATGACACGTGTCATTGTTGGTGATTAGGGGATTTTTATCCACCAATCACCGTCTGACAAGTGGACCAACCAGGTTCCGCCACGTGTCCTTCACGAAGGCCAATAGGAGCCTGCCACGTGTCAATCACAGATACGTCCTCTACGGACCAATCGAGGTACGCCACGTGTCCACCCATGCCAAATGGGAAAACCGGCCGTCAAGGCCCAATCCAGTCTAGAGGCCCGGTCAGCCCTAGGTTTACCCTAAACCTAGAGAGTGGCACGTTTCTCAAGGCTATAAATACTTAATTAATCCTCATTAATTAAGCGGAAAAGAGATCAAGAAATCAAGCAGAGAAGAACAGAAATATTACGGAACACTAATAACCGGCTAATCTCGCTAACGACGCAGATTACCAACATTAAACACTCTCACCTAGAGAGATCTTATTACTTTACTTTCCGTATTAATTACTCCTTAATCAGGTACTAACTTGACCGTTGGAGGCGGAGCTCTCAGGAGTCTCCGTTATTTTGCAGGTACAGGCGTCCGGTTCCAGTCTCGGAATTGTAACTCTCCCGCAGGACATCAGAAAACCCCGAAACATTTGGCGCCGTCTGTGGGGAGAGTACTTCAGAGATGGCATCCAAGTCTGTACCGACTCCAGAAGAGAGGCGTCCCCTAGACGACCCTCAAGTTCAGTCGGACCATGATACCGAAAGTGAATTTGAAGTGGAAACTCATACAGCTCCAGACGGGACCCTAAGGGCCCGACGTACCCGTCATACCGAAAGAAGGGAACGGGAGCATCTTCAAACAGGAAGCGAGCCAGCAGGCGCACCGCCTGCTCGGCAACAGCCGACTGATGGGTCTGCTCCCATCACAAGGAACGAACTCATGACCTTCATGAGGGACTTCAAGGGAGAGATTCAAGAGTTGATCAACAAAAAGCCGCCTGCTTCAGTCAAAGAGCAGTCGACCAAAAAACCTTCCACTTCACTGAAGAGGAAGCCAGTTCAAGGGCGAGAGGCGACTCCTCATCCTAAATCCAAGAAGCGGGAGCCACTTGCTCTTGATTTCACAAAATTCCGTTATCCTACGGGAAATAGGAAACCGGTTCGTCATATTCAGGCGGACGGGTCAAAGCAAACGTTCACAGATGCTCGGCTACTGCTAGAGCAGAAGAAGAGTGACCGATTGTCAGAGTCGGCTTCTACTTCAAATTTTCAAGACAGTTTGCGAAATGCCTCGATGAGGCATACTCACTCGTACCATGAGAGTCAGTCAGGCGGCACCTCCCGTCAGTCCGGCTTTCATAGTGCCCAGGCGGTACCAAACTTACCATTTGTGCCGCAACAACAGTATTTTATGCAGCCACCTCCATTTGGTGGACCTGCAGCAAAAAACGTCCAACCTATGGACTGGCAGCTACGGCTGCTTAGACTTGGTGAACAGCCGTCGGCCTTCTCCAAGGAAATTACTGAAGCCGCTCAGCCGGCCAAAGTAAAAAATGTACTAGTAGGCGCCTATGACGGCACTACTAATCCAGAAGACCATCTGATGGCATTCACCAACCTGATGTACCTTCAAGGGTTGGATGATCCTACTTGGTGCAAGTGTTTCCCAGCGACTCTCAAGGGAATCGCACAGCAATGGTTCGGCAACCTGCCGACTGGTTGTGTAAACAGCTTCAGGACGCTTGCTTACTTATTTGCCTCCAACTTCGCCATGAACATCCCTGCGAAGAAAACGACCCTTGATTTGGGAACAATTCAGCAGGGCGAGAAGGAGGGGCTTCGTTCTTACATCAGGCGGTTCAACCTGATGAGAATACAGATTCAAGGGTTACCGGATGAGGTAGCTTATACTGACTTTTTTAGAGGTCTCAAAGACGGGTCTACCTTCAAATTTGATTTAGTTCGAAAAAGGGTGGCGACTCTTCAAGAGGCCTTGATTGAAGCAGA